GGTCCTCTTGACTTCAGGGCCAGTGCTCTATCCACTGCACCACTTAGTTGCCCCTGTCCCCTTTTTTTTAGACACTTCTAGGGAAGCCAGGAGACAGAGGTGAGAAGGCAGAGCATTTCAGGGATGGGGTACAGCCAGTCAAAAGGCATGGAATTAGAAGATGGTGTGTTGTGTGGGATGAACAACAAGAAATCAAATCAACAGGCACTTATTAAAAGCCTGCTCTACGCCAATCACTGGAGATACAAAGAAAGGCAAAAACAGTACCCCCTCTCAAGGAGCTTACAGTTTAATGTGGGAAACAACGTGTAAACAACTTTCTATGAAGTATATAAAGGATAAATTGTAAACAAATAGAGAGGGAAAGCACTGTTGTCTCTATGTTCTTATGACATCACTTTCTCCTGGTTTTCTTACCTGTCTGACTGTTCTTTCTCAGTCTCCTTTACTAGATCTTCATCAAGATTATACTCACTAACCATGAATATCCCCTCAGACACAGGCCTGCACCCTCTTTTCCCTTTATACTATTTGACTTACTGATATCAGCTTCCATGATTTCAGTGATCAACTCTATGCATATGATTCATTTCTCTCCTGCCTTCAGTCTCACATCTCCACTTACCTCTTGGATACCATCTTAAACTTAACATGTCCAAAATTGAACTTGTTATCTTCTCCAAAAAAACTCCTTTTCTTCTGAACTTCCCTGTTACATTTGAGAGTACCACCGTCCTTATAGTCCCCCAGGCTCTCAGTCTACATGTCTTCCTCAGCTCATCACCTCACTTCCCATGTCCAGTCATTTGCCAAGTCCTGTCACTTTCTACCTTTGTAATACATCTTATATGTGCCCCCTTCTCTTCTTTTATACTGCCACACCCTGGTCCAGGCCCTTATCTCATTTTTGCACTATTGCAGTAGCCTACTGGTTGGTCTCCCTGCTTGAAATCTCTCTTTGCTCTAATTCATCTTTTACTCAGCTGTGAAATTCATCTACCTTAAATGATGGCCCCTTTTAAACTTGTCCAGTACTCTTACTCCTTATGCTACCCCCCCACCCCGGCACATATATACATAGATACATACGTACATGGATACATACTACTCTGTGATCCAGAGACATTGGCTTCCTTGCTATTTCTACCATTAGACCCACCATCTCCATATTCTGGTCGGATATCAGATCAGTGTGCCTGGGACTTTTCCGCCTTCTCATCTCTTCCCAGATCCTTTGTCTTTTTTGAGTTCTGAGCTAAAATCCCAACTTTTGCATGATGCCTTTCCCAATAATCCTTAGTGCTAGTGACTTTTGTCTGTTGATTATCTTCAATTCATCCTGTATTTCTCTTTTTTTTGTACATAGTAGGTGCTTAATAAATGCTTATTATTATTTTTTATTTTTTGGCAATTGGGGTTAAGTGACTTGCCCAGGGTCACACAGCTAGTGAGTGTTAAGTATTTGGTCTGAGGCTGGACTTGAACTAAGGTCCTCCTGACTTCAGGGCCGGTGTTGTATCCATTACGCCACCTAGCTGCCCCCAATAAATACTTATTGACTGAGTAGAACTAAAAGACATCGAGAAAGGTTTCTTGTAGAAGGTGAGATGTTAGCCGTGACTTAAAGGAAGCCAGGAGCCAGAAATAGGATAGAGAAAGTTCCAAGTGTGGGGGACAGCCAGTGAGAATGTGTAGAATGGGGAGATGGAGTGTCTTGTGAAAGGAACGGCAAAGAGGCCAGTGTACCTAGATTGTAGAATATGTGGAAAGGAGTAAGATGGAATGAGAGAGGTAAGGTAGAAAGGGCTTTAAAAGCCAAACAGAATTTTTTGTTTAGTTTTGAAGGTGATAACAAGCCACTGAAGTTTTATTGAATAGGGAGGTGACATGGCAAATGTGTGATTGCTGTTCCTCCTTCAGGGTTTTTTGTTTGTTTTTTGGATGAGGCAGTGGGGTTAAGTGACTTGCCCAGGGTCACACAGCTAGTAAGTGTCAGGGGTCTGAGGCCAGATTTGAGCTCACGTCCTCCTGACTCCGAGGCTGGAGCTCTATCCACTGTGCCACCTAGATGCCCTCATCCTTCGTTTGGTTTTTTGGTTGTTTTGGTTAGGCAGTGGGGTTAAGTGACTTGCCCAGGGTCACACAACTAGTACATGTCAAGCGTCTGAGACTCGATTTGAACTCAGGGCCAGTGCTCTATCCACTGTGCCATCTACTTGCCCCACATTCTTTGTTTTTTAAAAGGACCAATGACATCGTGATGGGCTCAGAAGGCTTTACCACAGGTTGGACACAAACAGTCCATTAGAACATTTGGGTTGGAGGTGTGTCTGGATTTATGCAGCTCACGTTTCCTTTGTTCTTCTGTGATTCAGCTTTGCTCATAGAGTACAGTGTCTTTTTTGATGTGGGCATGCCGTGATGGATAGTCCTGCGCCAGCATCTCCTGTATCTCACAATCAGTACTAAAGTTCTTCAGAGAGACCTTGAGAATGTCCTTGTACCACTTCTTCTGACCACTGTACGAGAGCTTGCCTTGTGTGAGTTCTCTGTAAAATAGTCTTTTACGTAAGCATGCATTTGGCATTCAGGCTTCATGACCAGCCCATCGGGTTGTGCTCTCTGAAGTAGAGTTTGAAAGCTTGGCATTTCAGCTCAAGAGGAGACCTCAGTGTCCAGTACCCTTATCTTATCAAGTTATCTTCAGAATCTTCTAATACAATTCAAGTGGAAGTTCACTTTGCTGGCATGTTGCTCATGGACTGTCCAGGTTTCACAGGCATACAACAGTGAAGTCAGCATAATGGCTCTGTAAACCTTCAGTTTGATATGTAGCTTATTACCTTTTCTGTTATACGTTTTCCTTTGGAGCCTCCCAAGCACTGAGATACATCTGGCAATGTGTGCATCAACCTCATCATCTATGTGGACATCCTAGAAAGTCTATTGCCAAAGTAAATGAACTTATCCACAGCATTCAAAATTTCTCCATTTACTGTGACCAACAGTTCCACGTATACCTGGTGCGGTACAGGCTGTTAGAGGACCTCTGTTTTCTTGGTGTTGATTGTCAGGCCAAAATTAGCACAAGTGGCAGAGAATTGATTCATACTCTGTTGCATCTCAGCCTCAGAGATTGCATTGAATGCACAATCATCTGCAAACAAAAAAATCATACATCAGCTCTCCCTTTACTTTTGTCTTAGCTTATAGCCTTTTCAAATTAGTTTCCCATCTCTATGGTAGATGACCTTGATGCTGTTTTCATCCTTATTGAAAACATTTGACAATATTGTGGGAAACATCATGCTAAAAACATGGAAGCAAGCACACAACCCTCCTTTACTCCATTGAATGTTGGCAAGTCATAAGAGCATTGTCCTTCATCCAGAATCCATGCATGCCATCATGAAATTGGTCTGCAATACTGATGAACTTCTCCAGGCAACCAGATTTTGCCATGATCTTCCACATGACCTCACAACTGACAGTATCAGAGGCCTTGGTCAGGTCAATAAATGTGTACAGACCTCTGTTCTGCTTCTGGCATTTTTCCTGTCATTTTTGGGCAGCAAATACCATATTGACCATTCCTTGACCCTTTCTGAAGGCACACTGGTTCTCATACCATCAAACACAGGATTTCATATTTGACCCTGGATGTTACAGGGAGTCACTTGCATTTACTGAGTAAGGGGAGGGTGAGTGATACGATCAGACTTTTGCTTAGGGAAGATCTTTTTGGCAGCTGAGTATTCAGTGGACTTGAATACAAAGAAATCTGAGGCTGGGAAAAACTGATTAATTTGTTCATGGACATTTATTTGGCACCTGTGCTGGTAGGTGTTTGAGAAGATACAAAGAAGTAGCTTTGTAATTCTGTATGAAGTAATTCATAGATCATATTCTAGTAGAGGAGTTATACAATACTAATAAGTATAATACCTAATAATATGCAAGTATATTAAATGCAGAAAGAAAAAAAAATTCCAAGATATAAGGGATGGTAGCATGGAATGATTGCAAATTTTTGAAATCAAAATAGTTTACCAAAAGTTGGCTTCATGGAAGAGGTGACATTTGAAGCAGCATAGACTGGTAGGGGCAACTAGGTGGCACAGTGTTTAGAGTGCAGGACCTGGAGTACTAGCTGTGTGACCCTGGGCAAGTCATTTCACCCTGTTTGCCTTAGTTTCCTCATCTGTAGAATGAGCTGGAGAAGGAAATGGCAGACCACTCCAGTATCTTTGCAAAAAAAACCCCAGATGGGTCATGAAGAGTCAGACAAGAATGAAATGATTAAACGAGGAATTCAGTAAATAAAGAGGGGCAGGCAGGACATTCCAGGTCTGGGGAGTAGTGATGACAAAGACCTAGAAGCGGGAAAATTTGGTAGATAGCATCAAATTGTGGAAAACCTTGAATGGGAAGGAAAAAATAATTTGAATTTTATTCACTGGGAAGTATGGAACCACTAGAACATTTTTAGTAGAAGTGTGAGATAATTTGATCTATATATGAGGATTAATGTGAAGAAACATGATGTGATAGAAAGGAGGTTTTAGAGTCAGGTGACCTGGGTTCAAATTTGGACTGTTTCTGTGACCTTGGGTAAGTCATTTAATCTAAGTCTCAGTTTCTTCATCTGTAAAATGAGATTGGATTCTCTTAAGGTTCCTTTAGACTCCTAAATTTGTGATCCTGTGAGATTATGCTAACTGCACTGTAAAAGGTAGTTTCGAGGAGAGAGAAAATGGAGGCACGAAGATGTGCTGGGGAGACTGTTATAGTCCAGTGGGTGGTAATGATAGTTGTACTGGGTAGTGATAGTGGGAATAGGGAGGAAGGAAGAGTTATGAGAGATATGATGGTAGGACTCTAAGAATGTTTTCTCAGTATCAGAAATGTATCAGTACATTTCTTCTACAATTTGCTCACCTAACGATTTAGGATAATTGTTCACCACATATAAAATTGAAATAACTTTCTTAAATGTTAAGGATCAACACCAGAATTACGTGAGAGAAAAAAGTCAAGCAGTCTTGAAAATGAGCGAACAGCTCTACAAACTCTGCCAGAGAAAACCAGAGATATTCCACCTATGAGGAGGTCTCCCAAATGTAAGTCATGTTGGTTTCAGAGTTCTCTCTTATCTTTTCCTATAACTACAGTATCCTTAAACTTACCCTTTCTTCCTCCTCCTGATCTCCGCCTATCTATTTGGTTGGCTACTTGGATGCATAATTGTTGGAACTTTTTTTTCCATCATCATCAACTTTTTTCTATTCCCACCATTTCCATTTCACTTGAAGTAGGAAAAAAAAGTCATCAACTTGACTTTGGGACTCAAAGGGATAGAAATCAGTCTGTGCTATATAGAGGGTGACTTTGCCTCGTTTGCCCCTGGTGTCATTATTGTTTCTTCATCTGTCTTCTTAATCTTCATGCCAAGTGTCTGTGATATGTTTGGGAGATTAGGCAATGGATGTGACTCAGAGTGCCAGCTCCATCATATGAGCTCGGGGCATAGACTGATTATCCTAAGGGTTTTGAGCATTGTAGATCTTAGATTTTAAAAGTACTTTATTTGATTCAAATATACTTTGGGATGTTGCAAAGAAAAAGCCAACTAATTTAAAATATATAACGTTTCAGTGATGCTTTTTGGCCTGGTTTGTAGAATGAATATGTTTTCTATGGGAAAGTGTGTCCCAAGTCTCAGACACCAGAGTTGTAAGTTGGAAAACAGATCATTTGTAAATTCAGAACGGCCTATGCAGTACTGTATTTTTTTCTAGTTAATAGAGTGCTTTATTTTTTTCCTAGTTAACAGAATGATGAATCCTGTAGATAAACTTTGTGGTTATTTTCATTTTACAAGTGAAGATACTGTGACATGTAAAAATTACGTGATTGTGATTAGTTTTTGATTGTATAATGCATATCAGTAGTGTCACTGAAATCAGAAGTAAGCTGCTTTATTTTTAATCCTGTGTTTTAAACTGGTATATTCCTTAGAAGCTAAAAATTTCAGCGCTTAGTACTGAAAGTTCTGAGCTAAAAGTTTTGAACTAAACTGAAAATTTTAGTACTTTTTTTTTAGTTAGTACTTTTAAAAATTAGAGGGTGTTTTGGGTTTTTTTATTTATGCACCCATAAACTGATCTTTTTCCTGTGCGCACACACACAGAGCAAAAACATCTTGAAGAACAAAATGTTTAGTAGGCCGACATTCAGATATAGCAGTTGGTTTTTGATGTTCTCAATATGTTCTGGTGGAAATTTTTTAGGCCTCAGTATTGGATTAAATTGATAATGCCAATCAAAAATGAATAATCATCTAAAGTGATATTTTACATTCAGGTTATTTAAAGGGCCTCTGTCAAAGTCTTTCTAATTTTGAAATTTTGCATATTTTTCTTTCCTGACATTAAAGCATATAATCATTAAACAATACTGCAGTGTTAGCTAAGTACTTGCAACTTTTTTCACCTCGTAATTCAAGGCTATTAACCTCTGGTTTATTAGATACTAGTGTTTCTCACATATTTTGAGTATAAACATCTCTAGTATAAGGGTTCTTAACCTGTTTTTGTGCTGTGGACTCCTTTAATTGTCTGGTGAAGCCTGTGGGCCCCTTCTCAGAATAATGTTTTGAAGTGCATAAAATTATGTAGGATTATAAAGGAAACCAATTCTATTTAAAAAAAATATTCATAGACCTTAGGTTAGGAACTCCTGATCTGGAGGAACATTTCAGTTAAAATAACATAGTGAATGTCTTCATAGTGCTTTGCAAATAACAATAGCCCCTAAATCAACCTGAAAACCTAAATCAACAGGTATTAATCCTAATTTTACAAATTAAAAAAATTTAGAAGTAAAATGGTTCTTCATAGGTTTCAATAATACACATGAGCTTTGTTTTTTCTATTATTTTTCTTTATTGCTTAGTAGTATATTTAGGGTATGTGTGTGAAGTCTTTTTGTAAGGTTGTTTTCTCATTTTGTCACAAAGTTGTAGTCACATTGAGGGTATTCTGCATTTAACTTTAATATTTAGTAATCAGGAAATATTGTGATGAAATAGGAACTGATTCATTCCTTTAGGGTGTTACTTTAATATATATGTGTGTGTGTGTGTGTGTGTGTGTGTGTGTGTGTGTGTGTGTGTGTGTGTGTGTGTATATCTATCTATCTATCTATCTATCTATGATTGCTTTTACTGTCCTTTTTCAGATGTATTATTTCAGCGTTTTGCAAAGCTTTTCTTGGGCTGTCTTGCAGCGGTTACTAGTGGTATGACGTATGCACTATATTTGTCAACATACCATGAACGGAGATTCTGGTTTTCCAGCAGACAGGTAAGGTAGAATTTTGAGGATAACTGAGCATTTTGTGCTGTCAAGAAATGTGTTTTATTGGGAGCTAGACATCTAGGATATATATTATCTGTAGATAACTATAGGTTTGCACTACTTATAGTTGTGGCCAGTTCAGAAAATGTGTTATTTGGCATACTTGTAGAAATATTTTTGAGAACAATTAAGTGTAATATATAAACTTAGGAAATATTCAATAGTTTTTGTCCTCTGGCCTTGAACTATATAGCCTATCTGTGGTGGGTAGTGTTCCCTTATGAAATTGATTCAACTAAATATGACAATTAAATGTTGCCAGTTATTAAGATGTTTTCTTTGTACCAAAGTTACTCTATAATTATTTCTTATTAGTTAATGTTTCAATATAATTTCTAGTAGTTAGGATGTTTCTAATGGTCGGATTTTCAGTTGCCCCTCCCCCCCAGGAAAAAAAAAGGCAGCCACAGCATTTTTAAGATATTTTGTTGCATTAGCATAGGTAAACTCCATCTGTGATGAAATGGAGTATATTGACTATGGAATCCATAGTAACTATGATGTTTATGGTGGTTTTTTCTGTTTAAATGATTCTGTTTTGGTACTTAACTTTATAATTATAGTTAGGTTTCTAGTTAGCAGAACAACCTTGTGAATGAAGTTTGTTGTTCATTGGTGTAAACTAACATAGTTCACAATGTTATCACTGGTCATCTGCTTTAGTTTTACTTTAGCCTAGATAATAGTGTTTTTTTGAGTGGTGGAAATGATCCTCTGTACTTTTAACTTACTTTTTTGACTTGGCAAAAGCTACTGGTATATGTTATGTTTACTTGCAAGCATTTCAGAATTTGCATCTTTGAGGTTGTAGGTAAACTTACTCTGTTTTAAATCTAGAATTTAACTTGTGGAAATGTTTATCTTGTGAATGAGATTTAGATCTTCATAAAAGCTTGATTTGAGGTCATAAAGAGGGATTTTCTAGATGCTTTTTATGAAGAAATTATTTTAACAGCTTCAAAAATATTTCTGCCACTTCTAGTGAATTTCCAGAAATACTTTGTTAGCATTTTTTTTGCCTAGTACTTGGCCCCAACTGGGAGCATTTTGGTATATTATTGGATGAATAATAAAACACATAAGACTATTGGGTTTATTTCATTGTCTTTTATTTTGTAGAGCTGAAAGCATGAATCATTTCCTATTAAATTTGTCCTTGATTTATACACTAACACTTCACTTTTCATGATCACTTTTTTCATTGTCCTTTTATTCTTAAGACATTTCTTTCTGATTTCTGTCCTAGACTTTTTCTGTTTTCTGAAAGGTAAATTATAAATTATGGTCCATTCTAGATATTTTGTTTCATTAGGACATATTGGTCAGATTATGAAAAAGTCTTACCTTTTCAACATGACTTTTAGTTTATGTAGGCAAATTTGAACATTTCTTTTACTAAAGGGATAAATAAATTGCAAATGAATCAGAAACCTTATCTTCTGTGGAGTCTATGCCATACATCTAAAGTCATAGCACAAAACCAACCTGTTTGACAATATTTAGTCATTTTAAATACTAAAGGGAAAAGGTAGATTGTGGAAGAAATTCAAGAAATGACAATTTTAATAATAATTTGATTTTCTTTTAGGAGCTTGAACGGGAAATCACATTTCAGGGTGACAGTGCCATTTATTACTCCTTTTATAAAGAAATGTTAAAGGCTCCTTCCTTTGAAAGAGGTATGACACTCATGTTTACATGTTTAATCACTAAAAGGCTTCTGAAGTAAACAAAAATTATGTTTTCCAAATAAGAGCACCTGAGTGTGAGGGTCTGTTATAGGAAAATTAGATTCTTTTAGGGTAATTTTTGATCTTTATCAAACGTAATCAAAAGAATGAATAATATAGAGGAGAATATCAGATTTTAGATTGCCTTCCCTGATTATGATGTAAAGCCTGTATACTGAGAAGAGCTCCCAGAATCAAAATATAACATTTTTCAAAGCTACTTCTTTAAGCTTTTGAAAAACATCTTTAAGGATGACTTGCCTCTCTCTCATTTTTTACACTAATGAATCTGTTTTACTGTGACATACCTCAGTTTTTTTACATTTTGATTGCTTTAGAAAACTCTAGTTCCACTATAGAATATGGTGTATTTATGTGATCAGCTATATATTTATGTAAATTTGTTAAAAAGGCTGAACAATTGAAAATGTCTAAGGTGATATCAGGATTGGATTTATTGAAATAGTCAAGAAATTGCAATTGCTTCTTTGCTTTCTTTCTTTGAATGTACCATAGTTTTTCTTTCTTTGAATGTACCATAATTTCAAAGTAGAACTCAACTATCTCATCTTTACCTCATAATATTTTCTCTTTTCTTTCCTTCCCTCCTTCATGTACATCCTTCTATTGATGGAACTTTTTGTGAGGTGTCATGTTAGACTTCCAGGTACCTATTAAATTATGTGCTGTCATACAAGTATGTTGCAAGAAAATAACTGAACAAATCAGGTTTTAGATATTAGAGGAAGATTCAATAAAGGCAGAAGAGGTTAGGAAAACTTCATTAATGTGCTATTACAATTAGTCTGTAAAAATTATATTTTCCTTTGGTGTGGCTTCTTTTTCAGCAGTAGTTAGTGATAAAATGACCATTCCTGACTTTTCATGGTAAGAATTTTGATATTATAGAGTTTTTTCCTGAATAACTTAAACATATTTTTGCTAGCAGTATAGTTCCTATGGGCAGCCAAAAGCCATATGGTTTTACATGGTTGTAAAAATCAAAGTAAATAATCTGGAGAAGAATTTTTCTGTCTTTAGGTGTTTATGATCTTACACACAACAACAAAACTGTATCACTGAAGACTATAAATGCAGTGCAGCAAATGACTTTGTATCCAGAACTGATTGCCAGCGTACTGTATCAAGCAACTGGTAGTGAAGTATGCATTATTCCTGTAGCTTGCCAATATTAATATAGTTCAAATTTTTTTAGTATTACAGTGGTTCAAATGCCATCCTAACATTACTCATTTCCCTATTTCAGGAGGTTATCGAGCCAGTATATTTCTACATTGGTATAGTTTTTGGATTGCAGGGAATTTATGTGACTGCATTGTTTGTTACAAGCTGGGTTATGAGTGGAACTTGGCTAGCAGGAATGCTTACTGTTGCATGGTTCATTATTAATAGGTAAGAAAATAATCTTCTGTTACTTACCAAAGGTCATTTGGGATGTTTTTTGCCTCAGTAGCCATACTTATTTTTGTGACCCTATTTTTTTTCAGTTATTGTCAGAATTAGATATATATTCCTTTCCTCCCTCTCCTTTTGTTTAAAACTGACAGCCTACTGCTGAGAGAAATTAATTTCAACAAGCATTCATAAAGCATCTACTTTGTGCCAGGCACTGTGCTAGACACAAAGTAAAAAATGAATTGGGAGGATGCCAACATGTACACAGATAAGTAAATATAAAATAGATGCCAAGTAAATCAAGTAATTTTGATGAGACTGGGGTGGGGTGCATTAAACACAGGAGGCTCAAGAATGCCTCATGTAGGAGATAAAACTTAAGCTGAGGCCAAACGGAACTAGGAATTCCAAGGTATAGAAGTGAGATTGGTGAGCATGTGAGGAGGACAGTCTGTGCATAGACGCTTAAGTAGGAGATAGGGGTGGAGATGGAGAGCTATGTGTGGGTATCAGAAAGTAGATTAATTTGGTGGAACCACAGTACTTCAGGACAAGTAATGGGAAATAAATCTAGAAAGGTATGTTGTAGCCAGATTGTGAAGAATTTTAAGTGCTGTAATCAGAAGAGTTTCTGTTTTATACAAGAGACAGTAGAAGATTTTTGAGCAAAGGAATTGGTTACATCTTCAAAACTGTCCCTTTGGTGGCAACTGTTGGAGGATAGAGGAAGACCAATTAGGAATTTATGGTAGTAATTCATTTCAGATAATGAAAGGTAACCAACCAGGGTGGTTGTGGTGTGAATGGAATGAGGGGCACATATGTGACATAAATTGAGGAGATAGAGTCTGTAAGACTTGGCAACTATTTGGACATAGGAATACTCCCCTCCATTGACTTTGCTATCCAGTGACATTGGCCTGTTCCTTGAATAAGACACTCCTTTCAACTCTGTGTATTTTCACTAGTTGTACTGCATGCCTGAAATTCTGCTTGTATGTCATTTCTACGTAGTTGTTTACATGTTGGTTTCCCCATTAGATTGTAAGCTCTTTGAGGTCGGAGACTTTTTTGCCTTTCTTTGAATCCCCGTCACTTAGTACAATGCCTTTCACCCAGTAGGTGCACTTGCTTAGTGCCTGTTGACTTGACTTGAGAGATAGTGAGGAGGAAAGAATCAAAAAATAACTATGATATTGCACATATCTTTGACTGAAGAATGATTAGGAGGAAAGGTGTTTATAGGTGAAAAATAATGAAATCGGTTTTAGCAACTTGAGTTTGAGATGACTATGGGACATCTAGTTAATGATGTCCTTTAAACAGATAGATGGTGGACCTGGATCTCAGGAGAGATAGAAGTGTTGGATATATAAATGTAGGAGTCATCATAGAGATGATAATTTAACTCCTAGGAGATGATAGGTCATCAAGAGAAGAAAAGAGAGACAGAACGTAGATGATGATTTAGCAAAGGAAACTGAGGTGAGATAGGAGGAGAAATAGAGCAATGCTATGAATTATGAAAGTTTTTTAGTATCAAGATAACCATCACAAATAAGGAACCAGTAGTTGTCTATGGCTTCAGACAGATTATTTGCTTCCAGGATTAAGAGGAATGTTTCAGTATCAGACAAGGAGTAGAGGGAAGAAGGCTTACTTAAAGGCAGTCTGGTTTGAAAGAAGTTATAGAATTTGCACTAGTTGGAAGTATATTTGACTTTGACAAATTACCTTCTTACTGTTATGACAGGTAACTAGCTAAGTACATTCTGACCTTGGTGACTTCTGGCAGTGAGAGGAGGAAAAGGAGGCAGGAGCTTTAAACCTTGCCTTATCAGGATCAATAAAAGAAATTAGGTGTGTTTCATTTGAAATAGAGATTTGTAGGAGATATGAATATGCCTTCAGATAGTTGAAAGACTGTCATATATAGAAGAGAGTTTAGAATTATCTTGCCTAAAAGAAGAACTAGTGTGGAAATTATAAGGAGGTAGATTTTTGATACAATATGAAGAAGAAAAATTTTGAGTTCTCTGAAAATGGAATAGACTGCCTTATTGCCCTTAATTAGAGGTAGCAAATTACTCTTAATTAGAGGCTAGATAATTACTTGTTGAGGATATAGTAGTGAGGTTCATATATCCTGTAAGGCAGAGGTGTCAGACATGTGGACCATGATCCTCATGATGTTCACAACACTCCTGAGTACAGCCCAAACCAGATTAAAGTGTAATTGGGAAATATTTAACAAAATAAGTAAAAATACAGTAAGACATAGATAATATTAGTATGTGGTTTTCTGAGCCAGTATATGGTCTGCAGGGATCTTTATACATGGTTTAGTGATTCCCATTTCTATTTAGATTTGACACTACTACTGCTGTAAGAGACTAGATGCGGCCCTTCCATCTTTAAGATTCTGTAGCTAATTTCAGATTCCCATGCTAACTCCCAGATTTTGTTATAGTTTATTTCTGTAATCTAGAAGCACAGAAACAACAAGGAATTTTTGCATAGGTGTTTTTGCAGACAAAGAAGGTTACTTTTGAGGTCTTGCTCTTGGCACATAGAGGATTGTTTGCCTTATACAAAATATACCTCTTTAAAAAAAAACTTGCTTGTTGGACACTCATGTTTTTTAAATTCATCAAGGAACTAGCAAGCAGTTCTTTAAAAATTTAAGTGAAAGGTCTAGGCAGTCATAGCACTTACAAGTCAGGATATGACAGCCCTAAAGCCAGTAATAACACCATTTCCTCAATATGTGGGGAAGAGGGAATTCTTGGGAACTATAGGGAATAGGAGTAATATAAAGTGTTGGTGTTAGTCCCTGCTCTCTTGTCTCTTTTAGTGAATGATGCTGTGTCCTAGGGAGGGAGGAGGAGGAGGGGCTAGTAGAAAATTTTCCCTAATAAGTTAAGTTCTGTCAGCATATTTCATACTGATTGAAACATGCTTTTCAAGTAATTACCCATTATTTTCTAATTTATTACTGTACTAGAAAATGATGGTATATTGAAGCCTTTTTGTGGTATTCATCAACTTTAGGAAACCTTTTGACATCATCTGAAGACCTGGGCGCTGGTTGCCTGGAAAACATTTTAGCTGCCCATTTCTAAAAATGTTCCTGTTATTTTATGGTGGTATAGCCATTAATATTAGAGTTTATGGCATCCTGCCCCATCCTGTCCTGTCCTATCCTGTCCATCCTTTCTTCCAGAGAGTGTGATAATTTCCATTGTATTCAAACTGTGTATATGCATGCTACAGGTTTTAGTGATGGACTTTAAAAGAATGTTGAACTATACTCCAATTTTCAAGGAAATGCATACAAACAGCACACTTAATTTTTAAAAAATCAATATATTTATTTTTAGTTTTCAGCATTCACTTCTGTAAGCTTTTGAGTTTTAAATTTTCTCCCTTTCCCTCCCCAAGACCACGTGCAATCTGATATAGGCTCTACATATACATTCCTATTAAACATATTTTTACATTAGTCATGTTGTGAAGAAGAATTAGAACCAATAGGAGGAACCGCAAGAAAGAAGAAACAAAACAGAAGGAAAAAAAAGAGCAAATAGTATGCTTCAATTTGCATTCAGACTCTGTGGTTCTTTCTCTGAATATGGTTAGCATTTTCCATCATGAGACTTTCAGAAATGTCTTAGATCTTTGCATTGCTGAGAAGAGCTAAGTCTATCAAAGTTAGTCATTGCACAATGTGGCAGTGTACAGTGTTCTCCTGGTTCTGCTCACTTCACTCAGCATCAGTCCGTGCAAGTCTTTCCAGGTTTTTCTGAAGTCCATTTGCTCATCATTTCTTATAGTACGATAGTATTCCATTACATTCATATACCACAGCTTGTTCAGCCATTCCCTAATTGATGGGCATCCCCTCAATTTCCAATTCTTTACCACCACAGAAAGAGCTACTGTAAATATTTTTGTACATGTGAGTCCTTTTCCCATTTGTATGATCTCTTTGGGATACAGCCCTAGAAGTGGTATTACAAACACTATACTTTAATGATATATTACTAAAAAGTCTTTGAGATAGGCTTATAGAACCATCTTTATCCTAATGATGGTCTGGAATCACTCATACAGCATGTAAGAAATCATAGATCATTTTGCAAATTTAGATGGTGCAGTGGAATGGATGAGAGAGGGATGAGAAATAGATGTGTTGTAGTCTGTACCAGGAAGCTACATAGAATCTCTTCCAAATTGAAAGGAGTCAGGAAATCCTGCATCATATGTGTACTTGGCAGTGCAATGGAGTAGATGACTGAATGGGGAAAGAAAGCATATATTAAAGTAGACTGGAGAATAGCCTCAGTGTGGCCTAAAATTCCATATTGTATCAGTGACTCAAACTTACCATGATGCCGCAATCATTTCTTAGAACGTACTTGGTGGCAATACCTCAAGCCATACTTAATATATTTAAATGCTATATCCCAGCTTGATACTGCATCGTGGTATGGTGGGCAGACTTGCCTGTGTCAGTCATGAAAACCTGGCTTTAAGTCCAGACCCTGACATAATGGACTGTAACACTGGGCAAGTCACTTAGTTTCTCTATTCCCCAGGCAACTCTTAAATCTGTATGTTGTAGAATTGTTGCTGTTCTACGTTGGTAGAGGGGAATTTTCCTCACCAAAATTTCCCTGCAACATTTAAATCAGGTTTAGATAGATAAAATAAAAAATTAGGTCTTAAAATGTGCCATGTCAGCTAGCATAGAAATTGCTTGCTGCAATATAACTTCACTGATTGGGATTTGTGGCGGAATGGACAGTAGCCCAGGATAACTTTGGAATACTTATTTGTTTTGATCTAGACCTATGATTTCGTTGATATGAGAAACTCCTAGTATGCAACTCTCTTCACAGATGAAAATCAGAAATTTGTCTATAAGTTATAGTCCAAGAGAAGTGCTTGGGCCACTGAGAAGTTGTGACCTGCCTACATTCACGTGGCTACTAAATGTCAGACAGAGAAAGGACTTTAATTTAGATGCTTCTGTCAGCGAGGCCTACCTTTTATCCACTATGCCATGTTGCCTCCCTGGCTGTGCTGTAGGGTAGCTTAAAGTACCTATGGAGAAAAAAAATGTCACTGGGACACACAATTATAGCACAACTGCAGTGTGTCCTTGTGACTTTTTTTTTTTGTGGTAGCTTAGGGGTGTAATCCAGAAAAATAATAGCAGTTGATCTTGGGTTGGCATTAGTTAGAAATATGATGGCTTCTTTTGAACATAAGTTAAGAGAACTAAAACATGCTTTATAATCAGCAAGTATATTTTGCAATGATATGTCTCTTTTCGTGCAAATTGTATGGAAAGGGCTGCTGGTCCTGTAGTTAGTTGCCTTTTAGTTACAGCCATAAACAAAACTCTTTCAAAGCTTCTTCAAATGTGAAGAACCAAGAAATTTTGGTAGGGATATTAGCTATTTTTTGCAGTGAGGCTGGCACGAATAACCAGATGAAGTTTCTAATTATATTGACATTCCAGTGAGCTAACTTAACTTGACTTTTCTGCTGTGTTTTCATTTTAGGATAGATACAACAAGAATTGAGTATTCTATTCCTTTAAGAGAAAACTGGGCACTACCATATTTTGCATGTCAAGTTGCTGCTCTTACAGGCTATTTGAAAAACAACATAAATACTTCTGTAGAGGTAAAATGCTGAACTCTAGTTTGCTGAGCTCATGTGTACTACCCTGTTAAAATAACTTGTCATTTTTCAAATTTAGGTATATTGGGGATCAAATATGGTTTTTTAATCCTTTTCTAGATTAAGCTCTGTCATCAGTGGCTGAACCATAGAAATGTCAATAGATCTTACTGTAATTGCCTTTCCCAGTTTTGGTGCATCAGGCTGCCTTACAGCATAAGAGAATGAATGTTTCCTTTTTCCTTTCTCTCACTTTCCTCTTTCCCTTTCTCTCTCTGTTTCCCTTCTCTCTGTCTCTCCCCCCCCATGTGTGTGTGTGTGTGTGTGTGTGTGTGTGTCTAGAGAGAGTGTCTGTGAACCTTTGTCGTCTTTCATTTCTTACTCCTGAACATTTCCCAACATATTTTTCACTATTGTTCCCCTGTCCACCTTTGCGTTGAAGTCTTACCATGTTCTTCATAGATTTTTTTTTCTGCTTCCTTATCCCCTGCAACAGATGCTTACATGTAAGATAACTTCTTTATGATAGTCTTTTTAAAATGCTTGTCATGGACACTGTGATACATAATATCCAGGAGTCCCATGAAATGAACTTTCTTGTAGTCATGATAAGAACTAACTCAGCTAACTCCTTTCTCTAAGGAGGGAGGGCCTTAAGGCATTCTTCCATTTAGCTTCAACTTCCTTTTGTCTTCTGATTTAATTTACGTTAAGATTGTTAAGATTAATGACTTAACTTCCTCTGGCCTTATCTCTCCTTGTTAGTCACTGGACACAAGAGTCTTAAATTTAGGCTGTGACCAGCTAAGTTAGTTTTTATAAATAACCTAACAGCTATGTAATTCTTAGCACTTTCTGCCCATTAATGTCACTTGAAGAGGACCTGCACAGGACTAAGGGTAATTTTGTATTTTTCTTTGTTTCATTGGTTTCTATAAGTTAGAGTTCATCACTAGTTGCCTGCTTACTAAAGATGAGCTTCTCTTTGCTTAGTTAGGCTAGCTAGAAAGGAGACATAAGGCTTTGGCCACATTGCGCTTAAAAACTTTCCTAGTCTGGTAAAACTTACCAGAGCTGGTACTCTCTGACAGCCTTCAGGGATACAAGGTCACCTTCCTGCCACAATAAGGCCTAGGGTGAAAACACTATGGATTTATAATTTTCTTTCATTTGCTTTATTTAGTTGAAATTATCTAAATGTTTATGATAATAGGTTTGGGGGATTTTTTTTAAGGTACTCAAATTAAGTCATACTTGGCAGAGTTAGGAATAGATAGCTCTTTTGCTTTTTGAGCTCAGTCCAGACCTAGCCTATTGGATACTTTCCTGATGATGATATTTTGTCTCAGAGAAAAACAATTCTTCCATTATCTAATAGGCTACACTTCTAAAGAAAGGAAGCAGACTAACAGAAATGAATTGCATGTGCTTTCAGCTTCTCTTTCTTCATTTCCTTTCTTTTACTCCTTCTTTCTTTACTTTTATATTTTTAAAAAAATCCGATCTTGTTAGGATTTCATATGTGTGTGCACGAACTTGGTTGGAGTAGAATATCCTTTAACATTCATGTTTTCTTTTTTTCTTTTTCTCTCATCCCTATTTTTCTGCTGTGAAATGTTCCCAATAGCAATAACTCACATTTGTATAGCATTTTAGGGTATGCAAAGTGCTTTAATTATGACTACTTTATGAAATAGATCATGTTATCACTTGCTTATAACGGGTTTCCTGATTCCAAGATTGACTTTGTTACACTGTGTCCAGCTGCCTCTGTAGTGACTGATTGTCTTCCAAAGATTCCTTATTCAGAAGACACTCAATGTTGTTATTATTATCCAATAATAATTATGTGGTCTCATAATGGATTAAAATATAGAGAGTTACTGTAGTTTAAAGTTACCCAGGTCTTATAATGGGTTCTATGGCCCCAGCTTCATGGGGATGACCTTGGATATCAATAACAACACTGTTGATATTTAGGTTATACCTCTTGTCTCCCCTAGAGATTTTGCTATTTGTTGGTGAGTGCGTCAACATATACTTTCATGATGATGTGGGAATACAGCCACTATCTTCTGTTTCTTCAAGCAATCTCCTTATTCCTCCTAGACTCCTTTTCCCTCATGCAAACAGACAAGGTATTGAGACATTTTGAATTTTTTATTTTAAATACAAACAGTTCATTGTTTTCCTTTTTGTCTATGCTTTCAACATATTATGCCTTTAGAATAAATATTATTATCAGTAAACATTAGAAAGAAATTTGTTCTGTAAGTCTACAATATCCTACTTTCACCTAAAAGTTTAAGCCATCCCCTTGAGGGAGGCTTACTTTGGGAATGGGAAGAATAACCAGAAGTACCTATAATGTAAAACCAGTGAAGAAGCATCAGGAAATCTTTTTTTTTTTTTAATTAGGGGTTTTTATCCAATTATAAAACATTTATTTTTTCTTCTCAAAACCCCTGAACAAATATTTTTGAAGTCATACCCTTTAAGGTCTTGCAGCTCCTTAAAACATTCATGGCATCTGAGCTGTCTCTCACCCAGATGCTGCTCCCTATCACATGAGATTTTCTTTTCATTCCTGAGGCCACAAATCCCCTCACTAATGTCAGATGGGGGGGGGAGCAAACTGATTTCTTCTCTTTGTTGTATTTTAAGACTCTTTTAATTATTGACTTTGGACTCCTGAAATTCCTCTTTTGCTGACTTAATATCTAGTTCACACCTGACCTGTTATACTTTATATTGATGGACTATCTTTTCAGTTTTTGAAAGATTCCTTTTTCTCTGCAGTAGCTTTTTACACTTAACTTGCTAGCTAATTGTGCTATTCCAAGCAGATCACTTTTAGCCACTAGTAATTTTGATAACCTGTACACATGTATCCTAACTTCTAGTAAAATGTTCCTGTGGGTTGTTGGCTTTTAAAAAAAATCTACCTTTCTTTTCCAGAATTAAATACTTGTATATTTCAAAAGCAAATACCCTGATCCACATTGTTTTGCAGTAATATTGTTAATATATTACAGACATAAACTTGGGAAACCCTATCATAATATCATTAGGCTGATTGTCCACTTATGACATTATTCCTAACTAATCAAACCTCAAAACATCATTTTGTATTTTGATGTCTTTTTTATGTAACCCATTTATTAATGATTAGGTAGGGTATGCTGTTGACCACATGGTGGATTTATTTTTCTCCTTTCACTAGGATGTCAAATTTAATAGAAATGTAATTGGTATAATCTCTGGACAGACCCAGAGAGTACATTTTCATGGAGTAACACTAGAAGTGGTGGATCTTTAGGGTGTTATCACTAAGGACTTTAGAAGTCAGTGTTCTCATGATTATGTAACAAAGGTTCCACAAACAATTTTACCTGGCACCTACTTTTAGAAAAATTTCACTATCCTGATTAAATTTAGTACAAAACTCTGATTTAGAGACTTATATTTTAACTCTTACCTTCATGTGCAAAATGTTTTTTTTCTAAGCTGAAATAGTTTAATTCATTATCAACAAAAACATCTGTTTGGTACATACTGTGTGTGACATTGTCCCATGTTACAAGGAATCGTGAAAAAAATTTTAAGTTGTGGTTCAATTCAGTCAAACATTTATGGTTATGACTGAACCAAGGTAAATCAGAGAAAAGATATGTTTTTAAATTTAGCTTATTCTTTGATACTTCAAAGAATAAAATAAGTATTGAAGAATGAAATAAATTTTAAAACACATGTTGTATTCTATTTGAATTGGTTTTAATTTTGTATCAACAGGTTCATGAAGTGTACAAAATCTATTTGTTGTCCCTCTTCCTGGGATATTTACTACAGTTTGAAAATCCAGCTTTATTGGTATCTCCTTTATTAAGCTTAGTAGCTTCCTTAATGCTTGCTAAATGCCTACAGGTAATTATGGTCTATCTTTATTCTGTGGTGTTGTGTTTTCTTGCTTCACTTTTTTTAACCAGTGAACTATAGTTCATGTTTATCTTTATTCACAGCTGAATGTGAAAAAAGGAACTCGTATAGCCAGAATGATGAAAGTGATGTATTTTTATTTGATATTTACCCTAACAGTGATGCTGAATATCGTAATGAAGGTAAACTTTTCTCAGAGATTAATAGAGAAAGGTAAACTGAATGATAAAATATATTGGATATAATTGTCCACTAAAAATAAGAGAGCAACAAGGTGATGAAGTTTTTAACATTATAATTTTCATTTGAACATTGACCAGACCTAGTTGAGTTGATAAACAAGGAGAGGACAAGTCTTGAAAGAGCCAAAATAACTTAGCTGTTATGGGGGCCATTATTCAAAATAATGAGACTTTTAAAGGAGGACTCCTAATTGGGGCATTTTATTTTCTAAGTTAACTGAGATTTCCTTCTGAAAAGTTGTTTTCCTTCAACTTTGAGTCTTCTTTTTAATATATACTGTTTTATACAATATGCTAGATTATATTTTTCACTTAAAATTTTTACTTCCCATTACCCAATCTAATCATAATGGAGTAAATGCACTTCAGAAGAAAAGGCTGTGTGTTGCTTTATAAAGAGTGGAGCTCATTGTTAACATTTATATCATATGCTTAATTATTATAATTTTGCCTTGTTATTCCTCTGTGTTCATTCTTATTATATTAACATATGTAAACATATCTTTACTCCCTCAGACATTTGTCCCACACAAAGAAAATGGGCACATGTTAAAGTTCCTTGAGGCAAAATTTGGACTAAATATGACTAAGTAAGTTTGACCTTATTACTTATTATCTAGAAAATAAAGAATAAGCTGTTCAAATTAGAAAACTGTTATTTACAGAAGAATTAAGGAGATTTTTTTTTCATATTTAAAAAAAAAAAGCTACATTTATATCCTTACATAGAGAAGATGTAATTTGAAAAACCCCAATCACATTAGTGCTGATTTTTCCCTTATTGTGATAAAGCAAAAGGATAGGTCAGATAGGGGAGGGGTTTAAAAGAATAAAGAGCCATGTTAACTTAAACATAAGTTAGAGCCAATATTAAAGGCATGACAGTTTTAAATAAAAATTGCTTAGGGTGGGGTGTTTCCTAAGTGAACTGAGAATGCCATCTGAAAAGTTGGTTTGATCCTTGGGTAAAGAAATTTACTTTGTTGATTTTTATTTAAAACACTTAGAGGAGGAGCTTTTCTACCAGAAGGAAGATCCTGTATCAGAAGCAATTTGAACTCTCCTATACTAGGTACATGATTCTGCATAAAATCTGACAAATGTAATGAACTCTCAGAATTCAAGTACATTGTAGGAGTGCCCCCTCTTTTGTTAACCCTTTTGAGTTCTATTACCCTTTCTCCAGAACCATGAAGCAAATACTAGGTTGTTTCTTTTGTAGGAAAGCATGTTTATGCACAAGTAAAATAATGTGACAAACCATTTTTTCGTTGTAGTCAGATACAGATATATAAGTTAAAACTATAATATTTAATAATACAAATTAAGATTGCGACCTGTACTTCAGTACTTTAAGGATCTGTGTGCTTTGTCTGTGGGTATACCTGTCAGAGATGCAGATCATAACCCCTTTAAGAATTAGTTGGTGCTGTGTGAGAACTGAGAATGTTAAGCCTAGAGGAAAGATGGAGGGAGAACATGATAGTTGTCTTCAAGTATTTGAAGAGCTACCATCTACAAGTGGGATTAGACTTATTCTGCTTGACTGCAGACAGTAGAACTAAGAGAAGTAGCAATTAGAGCTCACCAAAAGTGGGCTGAGCTGCTTTGGAAAGTAATTAGTTCCTCTTCATTAGAGGTCTTAAAACCAAAGCTGGTTGACCACTTCTTGGTGTGTTGTAAGGGGAGATCTTGATTAAATATGGGTTTGAATAGATGAGTCTCTTAGGAGTCAAGAAGGCTAAAGGTAGAAAGGGCCCTTTTGAAAAATGCATGCTTAGGCACCTGAAAAGTGCATGTTTGCATTTAAGTTCAGCCTTTCGTTTCACTGTAAGTTAATTCAAAGCCATATGTTTCTGTGCAACATTTTAACTTTAAATTCCTGTTGTTTAAAAATATTGTTATATTTAACCTCAAATTTCAAATCAGCAAATAGGTATTTTTTTCTTATTGTGAACTTGAATTGTGTTCCATTGATGTCTGTGGTCAGTGATTTTACTTGCTTAGAATATTATCTTAATGAGGCCAAAATGATAGGTTTTATTTCCATCCAGGGCAGTTAGCTAAAAATCCTTCAGTGAGTGATTGGATTATAAAACACAGATTCACATATAACATAGATACTTTGCTTCCAGAAAAATAGCATCATGCTTTATACAAAGAGAGATCATTGTTATGCTATTGCAAATATATTTGAAGAATGGAGTTTTCTGTTTTTAATTGAAAGGTAATTTGACATTCTGTATACATGAAAACTGTGGATCCTTTTCATTGTCATGCTTTCTTTTCTCTTATAGGAATTTTACAATGAATTGGCTCCTTTGTCAAGAATCCCTACAGGCTCCATCTCAGGATTTTTTTTTGCGATTGACACAGTCATCTTTATTGCCTTTTTATATCTTAGTTTTAATTATTTGCCTTTTTTCTGTGATACAGGCTATTTTTAGGAGAATCAAGTAAGTATCCAGAAGGTAGCAAAGCATAGGCGAAAGTGCTTGGGTTCAGAAGACCTCAGTTTGAGTCCCAGCTCAGCTCCTTGCCTGTTGTCAGAACAGGGGTAGATCATTTAGTGCTAATTTGAAGTTTCAGTGTCCACATCTGTAAAAGGGGGATAATTCTTATACTCTCTACATAGAAGGTTGTTAGAAATATCAAAAGAGAAAAATTTTTGTGAAGTACTTTGTAAATGTAAATATATATATTTTTCAGCTATCATTATCATTGCCCAAAATACTGTAGCTAAACGTAAAGTTCCTGTTTTGTAATATGTTTACATTTCCTGGTAAATAAGAATATTGTTCAGTTCTTCCTTCAGTGTTTTGTAAGATTCTGTTATTTGTGAGTAGTTAACCAGTGAAAATTGAAACTTAATCTTAAACAATCAAAAATCTGGTGTCTAGCCAAATATAAACTCAGCATCTGAATAAGTAGTGAAACTTTGTGAGATAGATACAAATTATTTTCTGATTATTCAGATGTTGAGTTGATTCTGCAACAAAAGTAACTGCCATTGCTTCTATTTTCAATAGTAAAAATGAAGTTGATAATCTAATGTGAATTAGAGTAGAATTTATTTTCTTTTGAAATGGTAATGTTTTGTCATTGTACTCAAGTTATTGGAAGAAATATCCCTATTGTTTTGAGTAAGCTTTTACAGAGGAAGTTCACTTACTAGCCTAATATTTAGTTAACAGCAAGATGTTTATAACTTTTAAAAATCTGGTCAGTTTTGTTCCTCTTGGTAGTGTGGGTGATTTAATAGTTAAATTGTGTCCTTGAGAACATTTTCATCATTTTTTTAAAAAGCTCTTTGCAAATGTTTAGTTTTAAGGGCTTAATTTTAGCCATGATACTCTTAACTACCATTTATTTTAACATTGCCTAGTGAGTAAATTGGTTTTCATTCTTGAATCAGTTTGGCATCAGGTAATGGCAGCTGGCATTCTCTGGAAGTCATCTGAAAAGACTTAGAAGTCTTCTCTCTGGATTAAATGGCTAAGGCTAGTAGGTCCAGATATTTGGCTAACAAGATATTTCTAGATGCTAAAAATCTTTGATATTTCTTTCATTTAATATTTGAGTTGTGAGTTACGACCTGATTCAAAGAGGGCAAAACATCCTTGAATTTTTTATATGAATTTGTAAAAATTAAAAATGCTATTTTGTTTCCATAGTGGCAAACCCCTAAAAGAAATAGTTACCCTTGAAGATGGTCAAATTGGAGAAAGACCAGAAATAGTTTATCATGTAATTCACACTATTTTACTGGGTTCTCTTGCAATGGTGTTAGAAGGGTAAGTATAAATTTATTTGGCCTGTGTATTTTTAGGGTGAATTATTTTTCTCTTTTGGCAACAAGCTGTTTTAGGAGACGTGCATATTTTAGGAGAATATGCAACTAAATCCATGCAAACTTTCATGATTTCCAGGAATTCATCCTGGAGTGTTATCTACCTCCTTTAGCATTTTGAAATTTAATAGAATGCCCCTTCATTCTCATTTCCCTCATTTCCTTTACAAATTATTATCTCACTTATTATTTAGATAAAATTTATTTTGTAGTCTTCATTTGCATAATTATTTTTCATGTATCTTCTCCTTACATAAATTTCATATAACAGTGGGTTTTCAGATATTAATGTCAAGCTAAATTTGTGCCATAATTGCTTAATTAATCTGAGTTTTTCCAATGATTCTCGTGTTATTGATATTCAGATCTTCAGATCTTCCTCCTTTTTTTCCTACCTCTATACAAACTCAGAATTCCTAATCAGTTACTAAACTTCACAGACAATCATTTAACTTCATAAGAATTAAGTGTCTACTATGTGTGTAGCACTGAGGACATAAATGTGGAAAAACACACATTGCTCTCAAAAATAAAAAAGCATCCAGTCAAACAAAGGGGGTACATACACCAGTGGTTTCAAACTCAAATAGAAACAGATCCTCATGGTTACACATTGACTTAGAAAACCACAAATTAATATGACCATGTTGCATTGTATTTTTATTTATTTTGTTAAACATTTCCCAATTACCTTTTGTTTGTTTTGTTTTGTTTTGTTGCTAGGCAATGGGGTTAAATGACTTGCCCAGGGTCACACAGCTAATAAGTTGTCAGGTGTCTGAGGCTACATTTGAACTCAGGTCCTCCTGACTCCAGGGTTGGTGCTCTATCCACTGTGCCAATTAGCTGCTCCCCTAATTACCTTTAGTCTGATTTGGTCTACACTTGGTCGGTTTGCAGGCTATGAGTTTGTTACTTCTGAAATACACAAATGATTATGATACAAGGTAGAGTATATTAAGTACAAAGGAAGATTCTAAGAAAATGTAATAAGTTTAAGACAGAATTTCTTTTAGTCATGGGGATCAGAGAAGGCCCTGTGGAAGATCTAGAACCTGGTCTTTAGGGAGCAGAGAAGGTTTTTAATGTGTAAAGGCATGCATTCCAGGTCTGAAGGATATCCTGCTCAAATGAATATAGAGTTGTGAGAGGGCAAGATGATATTGGGGAATACTAGCAGTTCATTTTGGCCGAGAGGTCAGATGACTTGCTTGTGGTCACAGGAGTGATTCCATTCTTACTAGGCTTAAATGTACCTAATTTATTTTTTATTGATTTTGAGTAATTTTATTCTTATTAACTAATTAAAATGACTTAACTATTTGTGATTAATAAGTAATGAAAAGTGCATCCCTCTAGTAAGAAAAGTAGTATGTTTTATGATGATAATGATAATTTACATTATATAAGGTTCTCCTTTGATTCTTACAGCTTAATGTGGTAAGTGCTCTTATTCTCCCCAATGTACAGTTAAGGAAACTGTTTCTTTACTCCAGACATGCCAGTCTCTTTGCCATGCTATGCACATAATTTGCTAATCTCAGCTCCATACCTTTACTTACACCATTCTACTTACCAATGAAATCTCCCCACCCTTCTGCTAAATTCTGTTGTCTTTTGCACCATAAGCATAGTGTTTTACCTGTCTGAGCTCTCAGTTTCCTTATCTGTAAAATGAGGATAATAATATTTGTACTACCTACTACTAGTATTCCTCATAATTTATGAAAAACTTCTAATGTAAGACTAGAGGATTAGTTGCCAGCTATTTTTCTCATAGTCATTCTACACTTCACTGAGGTGTAGAAATCGTGCCTTTTTTATTCTTGTTATCGTGAAGTATCTAATACCATGGCAGGCAGTACATGTTCAGTACATATTTGTTGACTCAGTGAATGAACATTATTTCTTAGTTCCACAGCTATCCTATTATGTAAATACTTTTTGATTAATGTAAGTAGATACAAATTATCATGTGGAGGTCGTGTATGTGGTACATCCAAATAATATTCTGTCAGTAACAGCAGGTGTCAGGGGACATAAGATATAAGAATAATATTGTTCTTTTTGCTGTTAGCCTTTTAGGTTAGAGGATGTATCCCCTCCTTTAGTGTAATCTATGATGACTTTTATTTGTGAATTTATTTTAATATTTTAGAAATCCATATTTTTCACCTTTACTGCCTCTTGAGTTGTGTGAGTTTACCATCTACTTTGTAATTAATATTTCCTTACATGTAGAAAACTATGTGCCAGTCATGGCTTTATAGATTTTTGAGTGTGTTTTCCTTGATTTTCATTCTTATGTAGTTTGGAGTCCTAATCTTTTGAGTCTCTCATCATATAACAGTTTCCATGTGTATGATAATTATGTCATTGGCTATGAAATAATTTAATCGTTGGCAAAAAGTAAAGGCTAGGCTTGATCTATTCCTTATTTAATATTGCAGTATCATCTGGGTTAGAAACATAGCTCAAGTGTTGACCAGGAAAAAAAAAATATTTCTCCCAAAAGTTCAGTGCCTCATCTTTACATAATTTTTTTTTTCTCCTCCAGCATGAAATATCTTTGGACTCCTTATGTGTGCATGCTTGCAGCGTTTGGTGTATGTTCTCCTGAACTTTGGATGACCCTTTTCAAGTGGCTTCGATTGAGGGCTGTACACCCAATATTTTTGGTGAGCTGCTGTTGTTCTGTGTTGTAATGCTAATGAGTGAAATTGAAGTAACAAAGAATAGAATAAACAAATAAGATTATTGGGATTAAAAAACATAAAGCATGAAAAATTTTAAATGATTAGGTCATGTGAGAAGTCTTCAAAAGTTAGTTACCTAACTAAAAGTTATGGTTCTCTTTCTAAGGTTAGATAAGCCCAGTAGGATATGTTTAATAGTAATAATCAGATTCTTTTCTTCTGATAACCGTGCCTGAGTAATTTATGGCAGTCTTATCTTAGAACATTTAACAGTTGGCACCCAACCACTTTTCTTTTTTATTGTAATTCAGCTAACTCATCAGCTTTTTATTACTTTTAGTAACTGGAATGTGCTGAGTAGGTATGTACTCAAACATATATTAAAATGATTCACATTGAATATGTGTTGGAGATGTTATTTTTTACTTTTGCTTCACTCATTTCTTCCATTTTCAGTTGTGTACTTAGTCTCCATTTTTATACATATTGAGTCAAAATGTTATTTACAATTATTTGTTATTCCTTTTAACAATATCCTAAACAAAAAGTTCATGTGGAAGGAAGATGGGACATAGTCTTTATTATCATAGCATGCACAAGTAGGACTAGCAAACTTGCAAGTATGAGAGGCAGATTTTGATTCAGCATAAGGAAGGATTTTATTAAAATAGTGACTTCTCTAAAGTCTCTTCAGTTTCTAATTCTATAATATTTAGATTGCATTAAGATCTTTTGTAACATAATCAGTAATATAAATGAATGTGAAAATCTTAGTGATCCCTGACCCTTTTTGTTTTAGGCTCTTATTCTGAGCATGGCTGTACCTACTATTATAGGCTTTAGCTTATGGAAAGAGGTAAGATTTTTTTTTATTATTTAAAAATTTATATGACCCTCATTATTATATTGTGGTAGAAATTAATAGGCTTTCCTGTGTGACCCTGGACAAGTCACTTAACCCCAATTGCCTAGCCAAAAATAAAAAAAAAAAAGAAAAAGAAATTAATAGGCTTTCTATCTAATCTACAGTGTAGCTTAATGTATTGATAGAGATAAACTCTAGATATTTATAATTGTAAAGATATATAATAAAAGGCTAAAATCTTTTGAGACTATACTATTAGAAATAAAATGTTATTAACTGTAGCTTAATACTACTAGTGTTTTAATTTTTGATTGGTAAACAATATTGATTTAAAGATAGAGAAAATGAAAACTACATACTGTTCTATTTTAATCTTTATATGAAGGAACTAGGTAATTTTGCATAGAGACAAAATCCAGCTTCTTTTAAACATTCTAGTCAAGTATATGTTTGACAATTTAGTATATCTTTTATTTTTACTAAAAAGCAGTGTTTAGCACTGGGATGCAAGAAATATTTAATCCTGTCAATTTTATTTTTCATATCTAATCTATGAAGAGGCAGCCTGTCATAGTGGTAGAGAATCAGCTTAGAAGCCAGGAAGACCTGGGTTCGTGTTCTACTTCTGACACCTGGTAATGTGGGTGATACAGGGCAGGCCAGTTAACCACTCAGTCAGTGCTCTAGACGAGGTGTCAAATGCATAGCAGGAACCAGAGTAAAAGTAATTGAAAAAGATTTAACAAAATAAATAAAAATACAATAAGACACGTTAATGTGTGGTTCTTAAGTTAATATATGGCCTGCAGGGATCATTACGTATAGTTTAGAGGGTTCCCACCCCGCCCCTTTCTATTTTGAGTTTGACACCATGGCTCTGGACAACTCTAAGACCAGTTTCAAAGAAAGTACCAACCTGCATTAGTAGGTAAAATTTCCTTACCTGGCTGTCCCCTCCACCAACAGAATGAAGTCTCAGATCCAATACCTCTCCCTAACCCAAGATAGACAAATTATTGTTGTTACTAAGACACTAATAATAGTAAATTATTGTTGTTACTAAGACACTAAGAATAGTACCTTATATCTCTTACTTGTTATAGCATACCTATGAGCTGTTCCCATTTGTAAGATGTGAGAATAGAGAATAGATCGCAGACGTGTGAGCTTTTCCCTAAAGTCATATAACAATTGAATTGGTAAAACACTCATAATGTAGCATGTGGCTTTCCTCTTATTTTCTTAGCTTGCCATTTATGAAGCTCTTAAAATTTTTGGCATGAGGCAGTCTTACCATACACAAATGGATTTTGTAAATATCAGTAATTAATTAGATCATGTGAGTGTGGCTATTTTTAGAAAATTTTTCCGTACAAGAAATTTATAGTTTTTTTGGTGTGTGGGTTTGGTTTTGTTTTGTTTTGTGCAAGGCAGTTGGGATTAAGTGATTTGCTCAGGGTCACACAGCTAGTAAGTGTCAAGTGTCTGAGGCTGGATTTGAACTTAGGTCCTCCCAACTACAGGGCCAGTGCTCTATCCACTGCATTACCTAGCTGCCCCTAATTTTTTGATTTTCAAGAAAAATTTAATATCTTAGGAAAGCCACTGACTTTATTGCATAATTGATTTTATGAATCATTGATCCTACAGTCTTAAATGGGTTACATAATATGATTTGTATAAGCTATAAATCTGAAATAACAAATTTTGTATTGCAAGTAAAGATGGAATAAGAAATTGGAACATTGTCTTCATTATGAAGCCAAAGACATCCAAAGAATTGATACCAACAAAGCTAATAATGTTGAGAATAAAATATTATACCAATTCCAGGTTTTCTAGGCATCTATAAAATACAAATGCTAGAAATACTGTGGCTTGTATGACACATGAAACTTGGTAGAAACTTAAAAGTTACTAATAACTTTGTGTAAACCATTCATTTGAAACTAGGATTAAATTTGGATGTGTTTGACAGAATAGGTAGAAATAATTATTAATCTAATTGTTATTTAGGAACCTTTTTTTGAACTCAAAGTTCAACATAAAAATGACTTAGCTATGTGAATTAGGCTTAGTAAAAATAGACACTTCATTGAAAGAGAGCAGAAACCTATGACATTCTTTGCATCAATGAAAACAATGTTAATTTGTGTTGTATTCTATATTTCTTTTAAGATCTTAGGTTCTTTGAAATATTATGAAAATGTTTAGAACTTTTAGTTTATAATGTATACCTTTGGGGCTTTTGTTTTGCCTTTTAGTTTTTTCCAAGAATAATGACAGAACTTTCAGAACTACAGGAATTCTATGATCCAGATACAGTGGAACTTATGACCTGGATAAAGTAAGAATTGAACTTCAGTAATAACATAATTTATCCTATGTAATTTTATTTTAAAATACCTCATGTGTTTAGCTGTTTTAATTAATTCATTTCTGTCTTCAATGCATGATTCAAAGGAGGAAATATTCCCACCTAAAAAGTTAATTATTAGATATATTTAATGTTTGAAACTTTCAAGTGCTGATTTTAAAAATTAATAAAATTTTCAAATCTAAAACATTGTAGTTTAGGATTTGTAGTTTTGTTAAATGTTTCTTTGGCTAATTTACTTTGAGAGGTATTACACTTGTGAATTTGAACTATATCTGAAAAAAGTATGTTGTCTGTAAAATGTATAATTTAGTTCAGCAAACATAACCTGTACGATGCTGGTCAAATCTCTCTGGACCTCAATTTGCTTATCTGTAAAATAAAGGCGGTCAGTAGATGGCCTCTGGAATCCCTTCCAGCTCTAAATCTGTAATTCTGTTATTATGGAATACTAATAACATAATGCAGTGTAATGGAAAGAGCCCTAGTCTTAAGATTCACATACCAGGTCTTCCACTTACTAAGTATAAGACTATGGTTGAGTTACTTAACTTCTCTCAGACTCATCTGTAACGTGGAACCACTAATTATGTCAGCAGTACCCACCTCACAGCATTGTTCTGAAGAAAATATATAATTTGATGGGCTCGGCAATTATCATTTACATGATTAAATAACTTACCAAGTTTTGTTTTGTTTTGTTTTTCACAAAAATTTGAAGTGTATTAAGTTCCTATTGTATGTGAGACATTCTGTGGAGGTACTGAGGGTCCAAAAAGAGAGAAGAGACAGTTGCTACTCTCAAGGCTTTACAGCTTTGTTGAGGAAAAGATACATGCAGACAACTTTGATCTAGGATGGTGAGAGAAGTGCAAATACAAGGTCCCAGCCAAGTGCTAGGGGAAATTTGAGGAGACAGAGAGCACTTTTCACTTATGGAGGTTGGTGAAGGCATCCCAGGGAAGTGGTTCCTGAGCTGGCTCTTCAAAACAAGGACCAACTAAAGAAGGCAGGGGGGAATGAAGGGAGGGGAGCTTGTTCCAGATAGAGACAGGTATGTCCAAAGACACACAAAAAGGAGGTGGTAGGACAGGAATGGAAATGACATGAAGCAGATCAGTAGGAGTTACTTAGGGTTAGAAAGGAAGGAGCAATCGTATTGTGACAGACTTTGAGTACCAACATCAGTTTGTGCTTTATGTGGTATTGAAAGGCCCCTGGAGATTTTTTAATGGAGGAATGACATAATCAGAGCTGTGCATTGACCATGTGCTTAGGCAAGTCATGTGAAAGGGTAGAACAGAGGAAATAGCACAGTTCCAGGCACAGAGTAGACACTTCAAAATGTTTATTGACTGATGGAATAGACTGGTTGCAAAAAAGATTAGTTAGCAGAAAACTAGTCCAGACAAAGATAAAATTATTGTTAGCATTGTAAACTGTGAAGTACTACAAATAATTTTCATGGTATATTTTCCTTATTGAACTTCTAGTCTTTATATAAACTGTTCTCATTATTATGCATCCCCCTGGAAGGAGAGCAGACCTTAGAGTCAAGGCCATGTAGGTTCAGTTCCTTCCTCTGAAACATACTGGCCAGTCACTTGACCTCTCAGTGTCCCAGGCATCTGTGAGGCTATAAGTTGCAGGGGTTTTATGCATCTTTGTTGGTAGAGAGACCTTCCTCATCAGGAATTCCCTTCATCAATAAAATCACAGGTCCAAGGTGAAACAGTGCAGTTTGCTAATATCGAAGCAATCTCACTACACCATATCCTTAGCTGTGTAGAACTTTTCTCTCAACAGGTCAAGTAACAAATTTCTGGATATGTCGTTCAAAACTCTCTACCGTCCTACCTTTCTGTCCGTATCTTTAACTTTAACTGTCTCTGTCTTCCATTTGAATCTACCTTACTTCCTTATTGCTCTCATATGCTTGATTCTTCCTCTTTGAATTTTATCTAATTTATCTTTAACTCAAACATTTGTCCAGCTCAGATTATTAACCAGAATACATTTATCTACTCTTTTAAAGGAAACCTTAACATACATCTTTTAAAGGAAGTTTTTATCTGCTCCAAACCACCACTTTTATAACTCTCTAACATCCAGTCCTTGTTTTGTAGCAAAAATGTAAGTCTCCCTTATTGATTTCCATTGGTTCTCCTTAGTGTAGACTTAAAATGTACTTTTACAACCCCACAGTAGTGAATGCTTTTGGTTTATGAATTTAAAAGGTGTCTAGATTGCATATCATGAGGTATTTTTTAAATCAGTCTTTAAACTTTCAATAAGTATCTACTTTGTACCAGGCACTGTGCTAATATAATGGAGAAAAACCTAGTAATTATTACTTTCTTATAAGTAAACAAACCAGAATTTATACATCCAAATGAGAATTGTCCCTTATGTAGCATTTGTCGCCATTGCTCAAAAGAGTACCTTACATCTAATAGGCTTTTAATAAAATAGTTGTAGAGTTGAATTAGAATTGCTTGTTAGTATCAGATGCTTATCCTGAGAAGGGAAGCTTCTACATGGAAACAACTCTGGACTGGCGATCAAGTCATCTATTTTGTCTCAGGTCTGCTAATAACTAGAAGTAAAACTTTAGGAAAGTAAATTCATCTCTCTGGGCCTCCGTTTTACCATCTGTAAAGGTAAGGGTGTTGAATTAAATAATTTCTAAAGATCTCTTCCACTGTAAAATACTAAAAATGAAACTTTTAAAAAATATATCCTTAGTGTAGCACATTATCATTTTGAGGTTTTTATTGTTTGAAATAGTATTCAGAGTCAGGGGAGGCTCTATCTCATATTATTACATCATGTCAGGCTACATCATATTCTTTGGCAAAAAAAACAAGGTGGGGGACCCATAAAGTCACAAGATTGAGTCTTCTTCTGTGGCCTATATACTGCTTCAATAAAGTTCCCAGAGTGGAATTCTCAAAGTATTTTGAGTAAAAATAAGTATCTTTATTTTTAAAAATTTTTAAAAATTATACTTTGTACATATAAATCCTGGTTTAAAGCTATATGATCTGAAATTGTGGCCTAAATAGTACCTATTTTTTCTTTTTGCTAATGTATGCACATCTTAAAAGTCATCTTGAAATTCTAGGTTTGCATCTAACATTATGCAGCCCTGATTCTATGATTACTAAGCATTGTGGATCTGTCGCTGTGTATAATGTGTAGTTTGCTAGTCTTTTAGAGTTGATATAAAATATTGTTTTAAACAATATACTTGTCTGTTAAATATGTAAATCAATGTTGTTTTGCAGAAGGCAGGCTCCAGTTGCAGCTGTGTTTGCAGGGAGTCCACAATTGATGGGTGTGATTAAGTTATGCACTGGATGGATGGTGACCAATTTGCCTCTTTACAATGATGAAGACCTTCTGAAGAGAAATGAAAATGTAAAGCATTCACAATTTTCCATTTGGGCACTTGGTTTCTTATCACAAGCCTGTTTTAATATAGTTTGCTTATTAAGATATCTGTGAAAATGTGCATATGTTCAACTGATTGTAGCAATAGGAAAATCTGAAACAACTTTAGAAAGCTAAGTTTAAATCAACTTTTTTTCTCTTAAGGCAGTACAAGGTACAAAACTGTTCAAGGAGCCAAAATTAAGCTTGTCCTTTACTAAGTTCTTTGTTATTAAAACAGTTTTGAAAAGATTCAAGAAGCAAGAGCACAGTATCCTGAATTACCTTCTGTCCCCCCAAACACCGTATTTTCCTATCTCTGGGTCTTTGATCAAGCTTTTCCAAATGCAGAAAATATCCTTCCTTCTTCCGTCTTTGCCTATTGAATTCCTATCTGTTCTTTTAAAACCCAACAAATATCACCTCTTCTAGTAAGATTTTCTTAATCTTGTCAGTCATGAATTTTTTCCGATGGGATCCCACTTACTACTTTTTTAAAAAATCTGTATACGTGTATTTATGCTGTATAATTCATGTTTATTCTCCATCTTTATCTATGTACCAGGCTGTAAATTTGATGGGCAGAGGGGACTTTGTTACCTAAATACTATATCTCCCCTAGTGCCTGGTAAGCATTTAATAAATGTTTCTTTGATTAGATTGAATTGACTTTTTTCCCAGCTACCATTGCTTTAATAATCATCTAAAGTTCAGATTAGGGCTCAGTGGATAGAGTGCTGGACCTAAAGTCAGGAAGACCCATCTTCATGAGTTCAAATCTGGCCTCATATACTTACTAGCTGTGTGACCTTGGGCAAGACATTTAATCCTGTTTGCCTCAGTTTCTTCATCTGTAAAATGAGCTGGAGAAGGAAATGGCAAACCACTCCAGTATCTTTGCCAAGAAAACCCCAAATGTACAACTAAAATGAATGAGTAACAACAAAAAGTTTAAATTGCTAATTGCAGATTCTTCTATTTTTCATACCCGAATTTCAAATCTGCTACTAGGCATTCAATTTATATGTTTAACTACACTTCAAAGTCCACATTTCCAAAACAGTTACCTTTCCCTCCCCCACAAGTAAATCAGCTTTTCTTCTTGCCTTCCCTGTTTCTATTAATGGCACCACCTTCTTTCCACTTAAACTAGGTTAGGATCATCTTCTATGCCTTCCTTTCTTACATACCACATTCAGTCATTTGCCTTCTCTCAGTTCTGTCTTTCCTATTATCTTTTCCATTCCACTACCCTAGTTCCGACCATCATTGCCTAATTTAAGTTCTTTGAATTAATTTTAATAGATTATAGAATTTTAGGACTAAAGGAAATTTAGAGCCCATCTAGTGTCTGTCATTGTGATTGGAATTATTTTCCTTATCCAAAATAAAGCAGAGAGCAGGGAGAAGAACTAAAGGAAGGGAGAATTTTAAAAGAGCTTTTCAGGTCCTTCAGAGTAGAGTCAACAGAGTTTAAGGAGTTTTTTCAAATTCCCATAGATGTAACTAGAACCTGTATCTGCTGACTTCCAGTCTAATGTTCCAAACCTAATTTTTGTATTTTAATTATTGTGTGTAGAAGCATTTCAGACTTTAAGATAGGCATAATTTAGAAATTAACAGTTCTTGTCTTATTTAAATATGGAGTAATAATTGTCGGTGATTCAAAAAACATCAAACTGCTGAAATTTGGTATTTAGCGTTATAGATCCAGGAGAAAGCATGAAAGAGATTTCTCTTCGATTTTTTTCTTTCCACTAAGTAACTAGTGCCTGTTACACCTTTGCCATGTTTTCTTCACTCTTTTCTTTGTGGATTACTTTGGAATATAAGTGTATTAGTATTTTTTCTCAACAAATTGTTAATCATAATTTCTTAAATTCCTCTTTGGCTAACTGCCATATGTAGCATATAAAATAATTACCCTGTCTCTCAGGAAACTTAAATGCAGATTATATATGAATAAATTCTACAGGGGTGTTGGAAAAGATGATTTGTAAAGTCCTTTCTTGTTCTAACTTCTAATCCTAGGAATTACATTTTGAGCAAAGTTGAATTCCATTTCCAAACCCTTACACTAATTTGTCTTCTCCCACAATTGAACCACAAGTTCATCACAGGCAGAAGCCACATGGAGGGTGCTTTTGGGCACCCACAGATCTGCAGTGCACACAGAAGTGTTGAGTAGGTAAGTATTGGATGGTTGGTACTTTCATACATTGTGAAGTCATTATTTTGTTCTCTAATCTCATAGATCTATCAAATCTACTCAAAGAGGTCTGCTGAAGATATTTATAAGATACTTACATCCTACAAAGCTAACTACTTGATTGTGGAAGATGCCATCTGCAATGAGGTGGGAACCATGAGAGGGTGTAGAGTTAAAGACTTATTGGATATTGCAAATGGCCATGTAAGTAACTATTTGGAAGATTAAATACTTAATATTTATCTTAGTATAGGGAAATGAGGTTCAAAAATTGATTTTCAGGCTTTATTTTTAGACTTTACACTTAAAATATAAACAAAGAAATACAGTTTTTGTTACTATTACTTGAGATTACAAACTTGGATGTGCTAATTTAATTTATGCGTTTATTTCAATTCCTTATTCCTACTAAGCTTTCTTTCATCCTGGTCTGCAGTGAAACTGTCTTTGGCATCTAAAAAATGATAGAGGAGTTGGGTTACCTGATAAGTGGAATTCTCTGGGAGATACTCTCAGAGACATCCTTAACTTCAGAAAAGGTCCCTCCTCCCAGACCCCTTAGTTAAAATATAAAGATTTGCCTTGGATAAGCTGCAGTCTTACTTTCTCACCCGGTAATTGAGAGTTGATAATAACTATACAAATAGAAAATTGAACTTATGGCAGTTTCTCAGTATTTGTTTTTCTAGTCAAGTTTGAAGACTAGCAAAAGCTGACTTATGAAATCAGAAAGGCTATGGACTCTTTGCAGTCTTAATTTTGAAACCAAAGGAATAATTAATTTTGGTTTCAACATTCCTGTTGTGGAGCCCAAGTTCATTAACTCATGTAGTGGCTATGCCTTGATGATCAAATTAAAGCTTAAAGATCAAATTAAAGATTAATAGGGAGACAGTGTGGTTTAATAAAAAGAGCATTGGACTTGGAGTCAGGAGAAATGAGGGTTTGGATTGTGCCTCTCATTCTACTAGCCATGAGCCTCAGTTTCTTCCTCCATAAAATGGAAATAATAGTTTTAATGCTTACCCCAAAGGATTATTGGGGGAATCAAACGAGATAATAAATGTAAAGTGCTTTGCAAACTGAAAGTGCCTTAAGATGTTGGTTTCTAATATTGAAATGGCATACAGTCTATGTACATCAATGATGTAGTGTTCACTGAAATTTTTGCTACTTTTATTTGATTTTCCCCTAGAGCTAAAGCAAACATTTTTAATTTGCTGTTTTGTATATTTTGGTATAGGTGGTTTGTGAAGAAGGTGACAATTTTACCTACTCAAAATATGGACGATTTTGCCATGAGATCAAAATTAACTATTCTCCATATGTGAATTATTTCACTAGAGTATACTGGAACAGATCCTACTTTGTATATAAAATCAACACTGTGATATCTTTCCAGTCCTGAAAAATAGCGAAGCCTTCTTTTCAAAGACCGACATGACATGAAGAGAAATGGGATGCTATTTTCCTACTTATGTATTCTTTTGCAAATCAAAGTTTGTACATTTGAAATGTTTTTTTTCTTTTCCCCTTGCTTTGTTACCAGATCCAGACTTTATAGGCAATATAACATCAGAACTTATGGTGTTGATAATGTATCAAATATTGCACTTTTTCATTTACCAGCAACATATCTTTCTTTTGCATTGGTCTTTCCATATTTTACCTCCTAAAATATTATCACATCTTCTCTGTGGATGTTTATCTAAATAAAGTATATTAGAACCCCATTATCACATGGATTTGAATATACTGAAGGTCAAAACATAATTACATGCAGTGAAACCTTAATATAGCACACAGTTGGTCTATAAGGGAATTATTCTTATACTGTATACCATGGCATATTACTTTACTAATCCTTACAACAAAGAGTTAAGGAAAACAGTAGATGTTAAAATAGTGTAGTTCTAAATGGGCATTATACAAACAGAAGTAGTTTTTTTAAATGACACTAAGCTTTGTTTTTTCTAGTGTCCAAAATCAAAATATTTATGATATTCATACAAATAGTTTGGTTTTTTCTTAAATATTGCCTATGAGTACATTACTTTCTCAATATATCCATGCATAATATAACATTTTAATTCTGTGTTATTATTATTAGTATGTGGTTAACTTTTGTCACAGTGAAATGATCATACATTTGATACCAGTTTGATTATGATAAAAATAATTATTGGTGCCTACATTTTTAATATGCATTTCAAAGGCCATTACCATATATTTAAAAATATAAATATTAGAAATAAAACCTGCTTGGATGTTTCTTGTCAGAATTTTTAATGCAACTTAATCCTTTTCCAGCTACTTTAGTAGTATAAATAATTTTGTCTTCTTGTCTCCATTAAAGAAAATTGAAGCTTCTTAATTTAGCCTGACCCAAAATAAGACTGCACATGCATTAGAAAGACTTAAAATTACTTATGATCTTTGCTCTTAACTACATCTATGCACTTAGTGGTTACTTATTAAAAAGAAAAACTCCAAATAAATTATTTGTCATTTAACAAGCTCTCCTACAAACATCAATACTGAAAACTGAGTGGTAATTTTAATCAGCTTTATAGATTTGCCATTTTTAGAGTTTTATAAGTCTTCTTGTAGTCTCTTTAAATTTGTTATATTTTAATTGCTTACAATATTTGCTAAAACATCAAAATGTTTTATGAGCAGTGGCAACCTGTAGATATATTATGTTCAGGATGTAGAGATAATGCTTAGTTTTTTCCTCACACTCTTGCACAATTTTTTTTCAGTGTTTAGTTATTAAAAGAGTGCTAAAATTACATACCTACCATTAAATACATTAGTAGGAAAAATCATTCTGTTTTCATATGCATGAATGTATTTTTGAAAAATCGTGTATTCTTTTACTGCCTATCAAATGCTGAGTGCATTCAGTATTGATGGAGTTGTCATGAACAGCATATCAGTTTCATTAGTCTTCATTTTCACATGTATAATTATAATTATAGTAAAGCATCTTCAGGTGGTATACTTTAACTGTTTTACTTCTTTGGTAGTGAGTTGCAAGTCTTTCGCTTTATAATTTCTGACACTATTGAACTTGTTAACTGGACAGATATTATGTGTCATGCTTCACTGCACAAGAGTGTCAGATTATATAGTAAAAATTCTATAATGGTATATGCGTTGAGGATGTCAAAAAATACTATATTAAAAGCAATCTATGTCTTTCTATTAGAGGAAGAATAAAAACAATAATAGGAAATTTGCCTCCCAGTGTAGCATCAAAAATTTAGTTAGCTGTTCATTGATCTATTCATTGATTTCATTGATTATTATTGATCTTATTATCTCATGTTTCACTGAGTGGGTTTGAGGTCTTTTTAAAAATTATAATAAAAATTTTCTACTTCCTCTAATTGCTTTTTTAAACAGATTCTTTGATGGATTTGAAGAAATTTCTAGTTGAATTTAAGAAAATATTTTCATGTACAGCTGTTAAAAAGGAAAACCTGAGCTCTTTAATGGAAAAGATTATGTTGGACATTAAATGACAGTTTATGGTGTTCAATTTTAGTATGTCCTAAAGCCACATCAAAATCTAGGAAACTTTGGGGGCAGCTAGGTGGCGCAGTGGATAGAGCACCGGCCCTGAAGTCAGGAGGACCTGAGTTCAAATCCGGCCTCAGACCAAACACTTGACACTTACTAGCTGAGTGGCCTGGGCAAGTCACTTAACCCCAGCTGCCTAATTTTTAAAAAAAAATCTAGGAAACTTTGGGTGAAAGTAGCAAAGCCATGTGCTGATTTCTGCCTATGAATTAATATCCTCACTTGTGTCTTTGCAGTTTCCTTTTATATGGTAATATGACCTTTCCTTTATATATCCCTAGCAGTATAAAACAATGTTCATAGTTTTGAGAGTGAGAAGTATTTATGAAAGAAATCCAAATATACTTTGCTTTTGATATTTTAAACTTGTTAAAAATAAGTGCCTTGATAACTGTTTTCAGCTTTTCCAAAAGTTGTTAATCCATTTTTGACCACTTTCTCTAAGCAAAATTATGATAATATTTCCTTATTAAGCTAATTTTCTAGGCAGTGTGCTCATTGTGTTTGTTATTAGCATTTATGGTTGGGTAAAAAAAGTGCTAATACTTTTAAGGCACCTATGCTAACTAAAATATTTTGGTCATTTGGTTATGCTCCAGAACTCTAGGGTAAAAAAAAATTAAAAAACTAACTTGCACATTTAACAAGGCCTATTGCACCAAATCTTTGGTAACCTACTCTTAGCAATTCTTCTTATTCCTGGCATCTTTGTTATTGAAGTTTTTGTTTGACTTATTTTGTTTCAGGCTTAATCTATGTTGTACATCTGCAGTACTTGGTTAAAATTGTGTCAGTGTCAGCTGAGATCCTTTTTAAGGATGACTGTCCAAACCACCAATAATCACATAGCAGTATGCCAATTTTTAAAGTTTCAAGAATAAGAAAAAATGCTAAACTGGAATACAAAAGGTGATGGTCAAGTTAGAAAAAGCTTTGGCACATAGTTATATGCTTAATCTTAAATCTATAGGTTCAAGCTTCTCTGAATTCCCATTTAAAACCAAACTGAAGGAAAACTGAAGCTGTATGAGAATTATTAACTTATACCATAATCATATTTACTTTTGATGATTTAATGAGAATTTTAGTCCTTTTTGCCTTTGAACTTTTAAGTATTCCTTTTATATGATAACTTATATGCTTCATTTTACACAGAGAGCATGTGCTTAAAATTGTATATACATTGATTTCTTTTTCAAATAAAAATATTTTAAGTGCACTAAGGACTCATGCTATTGAAAGAATCCCTGTTTTTCATCCTGTAATTCCATGAACCTTCTATAAAGAAAATTATGGCTCACTAATTTATTCTTTGTGTAAATCTCAGCTTTTTCATGTAGAATTTACTTAAAGTAAATTATACCAGCAGCAAATTATTGGTACATTTCCTTTAATGTAATAGAAAATATGAGTGATAATCTAAATGAATAGCCCAAATATTACTTACCAGTATTTATTTGATTCCTTTGCCTTGGTGATTCTCAAATGATAGCTTGTGTCCTTGACATGCATTTCTCCACCGTTCTTTTAGTTTTTAAGTACGAAGTTTCTTGATATTGCTTTAGAGAGCTAGAATATGTACCTCTTGTGTCTCATTAGTTTTAGATTCCAACATCTGTCAGTTGTAAGAAATTGAAAGTGAAACTGATGTAAGTATGGATAATATATCCTTAGAATAATACCTCATTATCAGACAATTTTGTTCAACTAAAAATTGAATTAAATCTAGAAGTTCGAAAGGGATGTTTTTCTCAGCTGTCTCTTAGTGTCCATTATTATTTAAGAAATTTTTTGTGTCATAATTTAAAAGCCTAAATTTAAAATCTAAAAGATTTTGTGGGACCAAATATACTGAGTTGGCATAGAGATACTTTGTGAGCCAATTATCATCAGTGATCTCTTCCTGATAATGATTAGATCATGGTGTACATAAACATGGGGGCAGCTCTTTCACAGTATACATGCTTCTCACACTTAATAAGGTTATAAAACTGTATTCACTTAATGGAATGGAGGCAACCTAGCCAAGGAATTGCTTCCTTCTTGAATTAATTTGCTAATATTACTTTCAGTTTTTCCAACTGTCATTTTCCCATTCTTTAGGAATTTGTACAGATACTTAGGTGTGAGAAGGATACGCACACTTATGCTAACAAGACAAGAATGTTGATTTTGTAGTAAATGTTTTCCTTCCCCATTAAGAGGTAAAATTTTCATTAAAATTAAAACCAGTGAACATATGTCTTTTAATAGATTTGGGACAGAAAAATATACCTCATATTTTGTAACCTCATATAACTATTTCACCAGAAAGGGACTGTCTTATTTCGTAATAAATTAACCTACTTGTTTTCTATGAGCCATAATAAATTTGATTTTGCACTTTTAATCTGTTTCACTTACACATGGGTTTTAAGTGTGCTATTAATGATTATAAAATAGCACTACCTTGCAAAAAACAAATTTTAATGAGATGGTAGAATAGAGGGGCAGGTAGGTGGTATAGTGGATAGAGCACGGGCTCTGGAGTCAGAAGGACTTGAGTTCAAATCCGGCCTCAGACATTTGATACTTACGAGGTGTGTGACCCTGGGCAAGTCACTTAACCCCAACTGCCTCGCCAAACAAACAAAACAAAAAAAAAGATGGTAGGATAGAAGAAAAAGTCTCCAAAAAAAAATCTCTAGCACCAGAAAAAATGTTCAACAAATGACCAAATTCTAAATTTTACACTAAAAATCAAAGGATGAAACTATTTAAAGAATACAAATAAATAGCACTGGAAATACAAATGCAAAAAGTTAGTACTTTTAAAAATAGCAGTGTACGAAATATTTTGAAAGTATCCTTAGAAGAAAAAACAGACTAATTCCATAGAAAATTGGGGGTGGTGGGGAGCTTGCTTCTGACAGACAAAAACTGTTTGATATAGTCTCAGTGCTCCCAGACAACTCTTCTATCATGTTGCGTAGTTAATGAAGGGAGATTCCATACCAGGAGTTTATCATAGTTTTGGGGGGTGAAGGGAAGGAGAAGAGATATCTTAGGCACCATATTTGAAGAAGTCATTAGAGAAAATTTCACAGAGTGAATAAGAATAGGCCACACTCTATGACTGGAAGAATTTTCAAAGCTTCAGAATGAAGAAATC